GTAGCGATGGCTCACGTAGTTAGGCTCCTGCCACTCACATGGGAGACCTGGATTAAGTTTCAGCCTCCTGACTTCCTGAACTTGTGGGGGTGAACCAGCAGCTGGGAGCTCTCTATCATCTGTCTCTTTGCCCCTCAAATAAATAAATAAATAAATAATTTTACGGATTTGTATTCCCAGGGCTTTCAGGGAAGTTCCTTTCTCAGGGGAAACAGCTGTACTACAGTTGTACAATATTTCCTTCTCCAGTGAATCTGGGTGTTAATACAGTTAATACAGTCGTGTGTGTGTGTGTGTGTGTGTGTGCTTTAGGAGGTCCTTCATTTCAACAGGGTAGGAATGGGAATGGGGGTGGGGTGTGGAGGGGGAGAAAACTAGAAGGGACACATCTCCTGCCATGGTGGCAGGATGGGGCCTGCCAGGGCAGGGGAAGAGGACAAGATGGAGAATAGGAGAGAGCCAGGTAAAAAGGGAAGGGGAAGAGAAGAGGAAGGGAAGGGAAAGAGAAAGAGCTGCTAATACAGCACTGATTTGAAAATGGTATTCACTTTTCCTTACTAGCAGAAGTACTCCAACCACTATTACCTGGTAACTTCCAGCTTTTGGGGATAGCAAGAAAACAAAAAACAAAACAAAACAAAATCCCACTTTGCTTGTACAAACTCACTTGCGGTTGGCAGCTAAGTGATAAAGTCTTTGCCTCCTTGCCGTGTCAGCTTTCAGGAATTCTGTTTGCCTGTGTTGTGTTACCAGAGTAGCCTGTTATCTTTGCAGTTTAAGGGCTGACTTGCAAATTCAGACTGTCAGATATTTAAAGAAACCGGAAGTCCCCACTCCACTAATTTAATTAACTTTGAGAGAGCAGGGTTTCCTCTGGTTATGATAATGTTCATTTAAAATACTCTAAAGGAAACAAGGCAGGAAGCAAAAAAGGGCAGGGCTTTTGTGTGTAAATTCTAGAGAAAGAATTTGAGCAAAGCCTTATTGGCAAATGTAGAACAGGCTACATGGACAAAAAGGAGCAGTAAGGCATGGACAGATATTAGGGCATACGATCAGTAGCAGATGGGAAAGCAAATATATAGTGCTGATTAAGTAGGATCCTGAATGTGCACTGGGTATTGGGGAGCCAGCATCTATGTGCAATAAAACAACGTTAAATTTTTTAGAAGTAAACAGTCAGACTGGTGTCTTTGGAAGATCACAGGAAGTTACATGTGGGCCATAGTGTGTGACGAACCTAGCACAGATCTGGGAACTGGCTGGCTATTTGACTTAGTCGCTTTGGACCTAACTTTACACCAATTACTTTGTTTAAGGTGGACAATCATTGTAGCGGGATTGAATGAAATCAGGCATGGACATTTTAAACAACAGTAAGCGCTCAATTGTTGGTGTAAACAATAGGCACACAAACACACTTTGACAGGTTGATGGGGAGAATGAGGGCTAAGAAGGGACGGAGGTGAGCTGTCTGGACAGATGCCTAAAAGGGTGTGAAGGGAAAGTTGAATCCCTTAGTGATGTTTTGAGAACTCAGACAAAATTCAAGCTCAGATGGTAGAGGAGGCTGGGGACCTTAGCTTTGGAAAGGCTGCGTTTGGGAAGAGGGAGGTATCTCAGCCAGTGCTAAGAATTAGATGTTCAATCATTATTTTAATGGAAAATATATACTGCCCTGGTGTAGAAATGTGTGTGGGGACAGTTTCTGGTCACTGTTTAAAATCTTCCTGAGCAAACTCAGTAATGTATTAAAAGCTGAGAGCTGCCTCCACAAGTGTGGAAATCAAGACAAAAATGAAACATGGAATGGACACTGAGATGGCCCTTGGCAGAAAGCCCCTTCCTGCGAGGAAGGTCTCGTTTCTGTGTATCCTTGCATATTTGATGCCCGAGTACTTCAGTGCTAACATTTTAGACCTCAGTAGGTGGTACTGGATAAGCTGTGAATTTCCTATCATTTATTTTATGTCTTTTCAAAGTGTTTGTTATTTTATTTTCATATATCTGGAAGGAAGAATGACATTCTGCTGGTTCATTCCTTAAGTGTCCACAAGCACCAGGGCTGGAACGGAACTTGGAACCCCAACCAGGTCTCCCATGGGGGTGGGAGGAGCTTCCTAGAAAGCAGCAGTGGGAAGCTGGATCAAAGTGGGGACTCAAACCTGCACTAGAACTAACAGGACAAGAGTATTCCAAAGTTCTCGTGAACCTGTGTACCCTAACGCCTGCCCCTAATGTCCTATGTTTTAAACTTAACACTATTAGGAATACGCAAAATCCATTTCATTATTTTGTTTCCTTTAGGAAATTTTCCTTCGATTGTTCCCACCTGAGAAACTTCACTGGACAAAATTATCAGACAGTCTCGGACACACAGAGAAATTCACCATACTTTTCTTTATATTAGCAACAAACAGAAAAAATACTTATATTTGTCAACAACAGGGTAGTGGTAAATCGTGCCCATGATGGAATATTAAAAGTGGCAACTGCAGGAAAGGTTCTAAACACTTTATAAATATTCATTAATTTAATCTTCATAGCAAGGCTACAGTGGGTGTACTTCCTATTGTAAGTAGGAAGAGAGAGTCTTGCAGAAAGTAACTTGTTCAAGATTACACAGGTTATAAATGGCAGACTTGGAGTTTGGATGAAGCTAATCTGCTTTCAGAACACTTTCTCCGGAATACTTTCACTAGACCACCACCTCATAGGATTTCATTTTGCCTGATTTTGCTTAAATTAGCTTCACAACAGAATTTTGGAAGAGAAGCATCCTGTCCATGGGGCCAGAGTTGCGATGCCAGCATCCCCATCCCATGTCACAATGCTGGTTGGAGTCCTGGCTGCATGGCTTCCCATCAAGCCCCACTCTGATGCACCTGAGAAAGCAGGGGACTCCTGCCCCCTGTGTCGGGGACCAGGACAGAATTCTGAGTTCCTTGCTTTGGCCTGACCCAATCCTAGCTGCTGTGAACATTTGGGGAGTGCACCAATGGGTAGCAGGTGAGTCTCTTAGTCTCTATCTTTCCCTTTCACTCGTTTTTTCAAACAAAGAAATCGTAAAACTGGGGAGGGGATGGTAGCAATGAATAATTCTGCTTCATTATGAGCTCAGTGACGAAAGTTCAGTCCACGGTTTCTTCCCCCGCTCCAGTGCAGTAACTCAGATTTGTGAAATTATACTTTACAAAGTCTTTCCACCTCACTCAGCTCCTCAAACCACCTTGCAAAGTAGCCATTTTGATGGACCAGACTTTACAGAGGTGGACACAAAGGCTCCAAAGGTTAACTGCCTTGTTCAGGCTGATGCTGCAGGGTCCTGGAGATCACGGTCAAAACACTATGCTCGTGCTTCATCCACACCATCCTTCAGGAAAGTACAGGAACAGGCACAAGTACAGGAAAAGGACTGGGTGTGGACAGAGTTACCCCCACCCCCCTTGGAGTCCTGGGGGCTAAAATGTCTGGGGTACAAAAGGGCTGGGGACCCTCCCGAGGGAAGGTTTATCAGATCAACTTTTCTCTCCCCTGGCAGGTTTCTGCAGCCTCTTCAGACCTACCTGAGCCTCAGCAGTGTCTTCAGACACAGCCAAAAGAGCAGACCAGACACCGTTGTGATAACGGTGTAATGGGCAATAATGATACCAATGGATAATAACACCGTTTGGCCACCTACTGCCATGGCCATGTTTACAGACATTTATTCTCAACTACTGTCCTATGGGCCAGGTCCCATTTCACTGAGGAGCAAAGTGAGACTCAGAGGGAATCACATTCTTGATTGGCAGAAAGTAGTAAGGGAAGTTTTAGCAACCCAGGGCGCAGAGTGTGAGCTTCTGTCCTGATGTCCTCATTTCCAAACAGACTTGAAAATCACCCCCTATAAATGGGATGACATTCCTCACATATCTGATAATCTTAGGGAATGTGGTCCCTCCAGGCAAGAGCAGACACACAGCCATAGCTCTTGACTCATGACCTAGAAACAAATGTATCCTTCTCAGCTCTCCTGTTTGTTGATTTCCCTGATGTCATGTCCTTCAAAGTGTTTCTTAACATACCTAAATGCATAATGGAGCCAAGAAGGGAATGGTGAGGGAGTACTGACATGTAAGGCTGTCCTTGATCTTTTTACCAAACTGCAGGGGTAGGTAAGGACCTGGAGTTTTTGAAGCATTCCTCTAAGACCGGGGAGTTTCAGGTTTGGAAGCCACTGTTAGTGCAGTGTGTGAAGGGGCACCTTCTCCCCCTCCATCACTGGCTTGATTGAGGGAGAGTACTGGGAGATCTGTTAATCATTTCCGGGTAACGTTTACCATGGTGGAACATTAACAGGGAGGGCAGGGGGAAGGCTTCCAATGGGATATTGGCTTCTGCTCTGAGGCCTCACCTCGCCTTCTAATTATACTTTTCCAACTGCAACTATTGCATGAGGACACAGTCAAGCAGGTAGTTTGGTGAGTTCAAATACAAACACCGCTCCTGTGGCAGCGGCCTGTGAGGCAGTTCGCTGCAGTGAGTGTCAGCACAACAACACAACTGTTAGATCAAGTGTGTAAAGGGTGAGGCCCCTCTGGGCAGCTGCAGAAGAAAGCCCCAATTAATCCCTTAACTAAGCAGCTGATGGATTTCATCTTGCTGCGCATACATTATCACTCTCCCAAAACAGGAGTGGTGTTAAGTTTTTCAAACCTCCACGCAAGCTCCCAAGGCTCTGTATACATTTCATCTCGCTAATTGATGACCAGAAAATAGAACTGTGGAGGGCTTCTTATTATAACACACTGTTGCTCTGGCTTCAAACACAGCAAGAAACGTTCACTCCCAGATTCATTCACAAAAAGAATAGGCCTCTATTGGCGGGCAGGAGAGCTCTGCTGCCTGGGGGTCTACTTTCTTTGGATTTTGCTTTCATTGTCATTTAAAGTAACAGCATAAAAACGCAATTCAGCTGGGAGTTGCTTTGCACAGTTATATCAGAAAAGGAACATTACCTGGTGTAATCTCCCTTGGCTTCCTGAAATTAAAAAAGAGACAGATGATCAATATGTGTTTACAATAAAGCTAAACGTCTTATTTACTTGTAGTCATTTCCCCCCTCATTTTTCCCATTTTTGTGTTGAAAAATCTGAGTGAGGGATATGGTGAGATTACATAGTTGGGAGAAGAAACACCAATATCTGTGAAATGTTTCTTATTCTTAACAGAGAGCACAAATAAACACACGTAAAAGCACAATGTGTTCCATGATTACATGGCAAATGCCTTTTTTTTTTTTTAATGGAGTGGCACACTTTTTCCACCAGACACAGAACTTCTAAGCAGTGACGCAGGTAAATCAACAGTGCTATTTGCTTTCTCCTTACTTTTTAAACCAAGCATGAAAACTGCCTGTTTTTGAACTACTATATGCTTTGAAGAATTCAAGCCTCTTTTATACAATCTCAGCAAAATGCATAGAAAAGTTACTAAATTTAAAGGAAAATTACAGCTGTTAGAACAACTGCGTCTCCCAGATCCAAGTAGCCCAGAGCTGTTTGCCAAGAATACTGGTCTCAACTCTTCCCTGGGAGCCGGCTAAACTTCATTCGCTTTATGGACCCATGGTTTCACACACATTGCAGCTCCCATAAACACTGTGTAAGACAGCAGGCGAACAACCAATTGGCTAAAAAAAAATGGTAATAGTAATTCCATTTGACACTAATGCATGCAGGAGTTTGAGTGTTGTGGCCAGTTAACAAAACCCCACAAACAAAAGGGAGCTGGTCCATTCTTACCTGCAAAATGAGCGCTGCTAACTTGAAGATGGTCTCGCTGTCTACTTCGATCTGTCCCTGTCGGTGGAAAAGGAAAATGTCACTGAAGCTGGGGCTGCTCTGGCTTGTAGCAAATGGCTGTGGAGTTGTGGAAACTGTCACAGCTTGGCACCTCCAGTTTACCATCAAATGCAGGTCATACCATTGCTGGGGAAAGGGGGAGGCAAGGAGAGCTGTGCCGAGGGTTAAGGGGAAGCTGCACTCTGTGTGTGTGTGTGTGTGCGCGCGCGCGCGCGCGCGCTTGGGGAATTTTGTTTACAGAGCAGTCCCTACTCAGAAGGGAATAATACGACTTGGAAGCTGAAAATTCAGACAACTTCTAAATACACAAAGTATCTCTAAGTTCATTTCTATGCTTGCAGGGTTTTTTCCCCCCTAGATTTGTTGTTTTCATAAAAATATTTTCTCTGTGTCATAGCACAATTATTTCAGTACATACATAATGAAAATATTATTAACATATAAATTCACTATTATGCCAATAAACACACCATTGAGTTAATATTTATACCATTACAGATCGCTAAGTGGTGTTTTTCGGCTTTTCTTTCATCGCCAAGAAACTGGGACACCTTAAACATTAATTACAGCAAATGCTTAGATGACTAAAATTCTGTTAGTTATATTGAGGTTTGATGAATCATTTGTTTTTCTGTCCTTTTATTATTTAGCCCTTTAAGATCCCAAAGGAAAACTGGAGTTTTGGATTTTGGTTCATAAGAGTGTTTTCTCAGTAGCCTGGTAGGGATACGTGTTTGTGCAAGGGGCATTGCCTCTTTCAATAATACCCAGATGTGTCTTTATATCTGTGAGTGCATGGATATATGTAAATGCCATTATTGCATCTACGGAGAGTGGCATAGATGGATCTATACTTTAAAAAAGAAAAAAGGGTTTAGAACTATATTAGCTTGTAAGTATCAACACAAGCAAAATCAATTCCACACAACCTGCCCCCTGCTAAGCCTTGCATAATAAGTACTTAAAAGGGCACAGTGTTGAAATGCATGGACCTCACTTACAGGCCTGGAGCCGACACTGCCTCCACCTTCTTCCCATTCTGTCTGTTGGAACTGAGCTGAAGCATTTTCTAGTGATACCAAGTGGCTGCCTGGGGGGAGTAAAGTGGTTTGAAAGCTAGTGTCCAGCAGGCAGGAGTACAAAAGTATTCTGCTCAGGATTTCTGAGGAAATTATGCTTTCCTCTTAGGTTTCCAAGTGATTTCATTATGGTTCTCAAAACCAAACAAATCTTTTTAAATGTCATTAAAAAAAAAAAAGACCTCTGGATATCAGACTGCCAGCACTGCTAATGACTAGTGTTTCCCCTCATTTTACAAATGAAAACAAACGAATTCCATAGTCTCCCATCCAGATTCCCTTGTTGAAACTTGAGGCATAGGATCTACCGTGGAAGTTGACAGGCCCACAGCCTTGGAATTCAAAGCTCGCCTGTCATCTGCAGAGACAGATTACAAAACCAAAGAGGAGCCCGGTGGATTGCAGGCATTCAGTGGCCCTCTTTCTTTCCCAGCAAGACCCACTGGTTCCTAATCTGGTGAAAGGTGAAGAAGCGATTAATCCAACAGGTGAGGTTGGCTGCTGCAAGATGACATTTTTGTTGTTTTTTTGTTTGTTTGTTTGTTTTTAAATTAACAACACCATGAAGGTTTTTTTTTTTAAGATTTATTTTTATTATTTTTTCATTGGAAAGGCATATATACAGAGAGGAGAGACAGAGAGGAAGGTTTTCCGTCCGATAATTCACTCCCCAAGTGAGCACAACGGCCGATGCTATGCCGGTCCGAAGCCAGGAGCCTCTTCCGGGTCTCCCACGAGGGTGCAGGTTCCCAAAGCTTTGGGCCGTCCTCGACTGCTTTCCTGGGCCACAGGCAGGGAGCTGGAAGGGAAGTGGGGCTGCCGGGACCAGAACTGGCGCCCATATGGAATCCCGGGCGTGCAAGGTGAGGACTTTAACCACTTGCACCATTGCGCCGGGCCCAAGATGAAATTTTTGAAAGGGTAAATTCCTGAAGTTCATAAGAAAAAATACTCACTGGATGACAGGGGGGCTTGATGGGAACTCAAGAACATCTCTGAGCTTAAACTTAAGCCAGAACTCAGGGGGGAAAAAAACAGAATAAAATTTGTTTTGGAATCTTAGAGAAGAGAAAAAGTGGATTGTTTGGGATATTAAGGAGACCAGAGGTGAACAAATAATTAGGAAATGACTGCCACCTCATCCCTCCTTTTGCCTCGTCTGAACTTTGGATGAACCACCTGCACAGCACTGTGCACTGAAACCTTTTCAATTTAGTAAATGAGCTCCAGCAGACAGATACCCTGAGACCCAATGCAGAGACTTGCCCAGATGCTGCCAAATCTTTCTCCATCTTAGCAGGTCATAAAACATGCAAAACACTGACGTGAGGAACTAGAGTGCCAGGCACAGACAGGTCCAGAGAGTGGGGCGCGAACATCCGAATCATTTGTGACTTTTGCTGTTATGCAAGCAGCCCCGACGTTTCCTGGTGGAGGAGGGTAAAGGAGTAGGGTCTACCAAGATCTTGTTCCGGCGAGAAGAGAATGCGCGACTTGGCAAAACCCAGCAGCATTCTTTTACCTTCCACCCTCATCCCAGTCCTCAGCTATCCCACCATGCATTTAACAGCTACTGTTCTAGAAATCCATAGCAACATATTTCGTGTTTTACTACTGATTGCCAATGTCACTGAGCTTGCTTGTGCTGTGTACCAAATAATGCCTCAATTAAGAACTACCCTACGGGAGGGAATTTGGCCCAGCAGTGAAAATGCTAGATTCTACATTAGGCTACCGGGTCTGAGTCCTAGCTCTGGTTCCTGGTTACATGTTTCTGCAAGCACATACTACGTGAGAAGCAGCAGTGCTGACTCACATGGCAAGACCTGGACTGAAGTCCCAGCTCCACCCCGCCCTGGCCTCTGTGGGTATTTGGGAATGAATTAGCAAATGGAAACTATTTGTCTACCTGCCTTTCTCTCAAATAAATAAATAAATAAAAATTAGAGGGAAAAAAAAATCCATACTATTTGCCTCGTTCTCAGCAAGGACTCTAGGAGCCAGCGTTGTGGTGTTGTGGGAGTGTTGGTGCCTGTTACGTAGGCATCCTATATTGGTGTTGGTTCTTCTAATCCAGCTCTCTGCTAAAGGCTTGGGAAAAGCAGCAAGATGTGGTCTCAGTGCTTTAGTCCCTGCCATTCATGTGGGAGACCCAGATGAAACTCCTGGCTCCTGCCTTTGGCCTGAACCCAACTGTGGCCATTGCAACCATTTACAAAGGAAGGTAACCCATAAATGAAAGATCTCTCTGTTTCTCTCTCTCTCTCTTTTTTTTTTCCTTTATAAGTCTGCCTTTCAAGTAAACAAATAAGTCTAAAAAACAAAACAAAACAAAACAAAACAAAACAAATTCCAAAATTTCATTCCTGAAATGTAAAAGTTCTTCAGAAACTGCCATCTGCTCAGGACAGCGCATTTCTCTTGCTTCCAACCATGGCAACTGCGGTAACATTAGAGGGCCTGGGCAAACTAACACCTGAGAGAGGGATCTCCTTCAAGAGAAAGGTAATGAGATCCTTCAGTGGGGTTCCATGGCTGTCATGGATAAACAAAGAGAACCAGGGAAGGGAGTCAGATGATGTGGCTGAGTGCACGCAGGTAACGTGAAACACCATCGTGTCCTGCTGTGACACCCTTCTGGCTAAGTTAGCTGGATAACCAATTCAATCACCAAGGAACACAATGCACATCTCATTTTTGTCTTTCTCTTGTTGGTTTCATTGACCAAAACATCATGCCTGTGAAATGAATTCCAGGTTTGATTTCCAAGTACAAGGGAATAAAAGTTCTAGCACTTGAAAACAAATAGTGGATCATGACTAAGCCTATTTATATTTATTTTTGTTTTGCTTATTTATATGACAGACTGAGTGTCAGAGAAACAGCGAGAGTAAGAGGGGGAGAAGGAAAAGGAGAGAGGGATCTTATTTCTGTTGGTTCATTCCCCAAATGACTGCAGTGGCTAGCGGTGGTTTAGGCCAAAGCCAGAAGCTTAGAACTCCATCCTGGTCTTTAATGTGAGTTGTAGAAGCCCAAGAATTTGGGCCATCCTCTGCTGCTTTCCTGGGCATGTTATCAGGTAGCTAGACTGGAAGCAGGGCTGGAAGCCAGGACTTGAACCAGTGATCTGATATTGGACGCTGGTGCTGCAAGTGGTGGCTTAACGTGCTGAGCCACTATGCTCACTTCATTGACCTAGGAGGTCTCAGTGATCATCTTAACCAACATCGTCAGTACCTGGAGAGCTCAGCATTGTATGAATCCTGATTATCTGCACTGGAAAAAGCTGTTGCCTACATAAAGTACTGTGCTGGCAGATGTACTTTACAACTGGAAACCAGGGAAAAGAGGTGCTCTAATTTGTAGCCATTGTGGGTATCCACAGTGTAAATATTCTAGTATGGCTAATGTCAAGCTACTGATTTAGTATCATAGCACCTGAAGCTAGAAAGAGAAGTGAGAAGTGGCTCTCAAGAGCCAGTACAAGCTGTCTCTAAAACATAGCCACAGAAGATTCCAGCTGAAAATGTACTGCTAGATCTAATCAGGAGCCATGAAGCAATTCCACACCAAGGTTTGTTTCATAAAACAGTTGGTCCATATTCTTCCAAAAAAAAAAAAAAACAGATACAGAAGAGAAGCTGAAGAAGACGGAAAAGCTGTAGCAACTGAAAGCAGTGTGTTATCCTGGATCAAGAGAAAACATTAACAGCATTGCAGAAATCGAGTTGTCTGTTAGGCAATGATAGGCTCGAATACTAAATGTTCTGAATATGATCACTGGAATAGATTAAGTAAGGGATGTCCTTGATTCTAGGAAATACACAGTGAGCTCTATTGGGGCAAGCCAGTATGCCTGAACATGTATGAAGGTAGAGACAGAGTGCATATGTGGCAAAACATTGAAAATTGGTAAAT